CATTAAAAATAACTGAATATCCATCCAAAAACAGCTTCGAAACTGAAATTAAATTATTCCGAAAACTCGGCACGTACAAAACGTTCTTTAATACTAAAATAGAATCAGAAAAAGACAAGTGCACATCTCCCACTGCAACCACTGCCACTCGTGTAGCGTTGCCCAAGCTGATGGTAATCTCGCCCTCACTGAGCTGCCTTCTTTGCAGAAACCCCTGCAAAGTATAACAAACATGATCAGTGGCTCCTGTATCTACTACCCAAGAACTGGTAGAACAAGCCGCAAAGCATGTTTCGACAACTAAAGCAAGAGACGTACCAGGAGCGTCCTTGAGGGGACAATCTGACTTCCAATGTCCTGTCTTGTTGCACTTGAAGCACTTGCCTTTCGGCTTCACCACGCCACCAGAAGGCGCTACTGCTTTGCTCCCACCACTCCTACTGCTCCCACTGGTTCCACCACTCTTTTTCTGCACTTGCTTTTTCTTCTTCCCGCCTTTCGACGAAGGAGGTCCAGCTTGTACAGAAACATGAGCTTGTGGTCCCTTTCCCATAAGACCCTCTGCTGCAACCATGTCCGTAAGAAGCTCGGCTAGAGTATAGCCTGTTAGAGGTATGCTGTAAAAGCTGTGTTTTGCAGTTTTTATCAATTCCATTTTGATCTGGCAATCATGTTTCGGTCAAAGTACATATGTTTGCAGTTTATTTATTTATGCAATACATACTGTTGGAACCCACGAGGATCTCGATATGCACAAATCACGGACAAACATTCAACATAAACCTATGCGCAGTGGATCTAAAGCTTTGATGAAGAAAACTTACTGCTTAATATTTATGTAGATCTGGCTGGCCCGGACAGTTGACCCCAAATCAAATCTTCTCGGAATCGAACAAACTTGACCAATCCAGAAAGCTGACGTCACGGCGAAGTCAACGGCGTTGACCGATCGGAAAAAGATCGATTCACGCGCTCTCACGCGCGCGCGTTGTCCTCGGCAGCTGGAACCTTCCGGCGGCGCGTGGCGTCACGTGCGGCGGCGTACGGCGGCGATCTCGACGGCGATCTCTTCGTCTCGTCGTCCTGGTCGTCGTGGTATGGTCACTTGCTGGTTTTGGTCTCCAGTTTGGATGTATGATTGGAATCTCTATATACCTTAAGATCTTCTACTGTATTCTCAAACAGCTTTCTAGATCTTGTATCAGTGGAACACAAGAAATAGAAGAACTCCTTGGAAGAGAGAGAAAGAGAGGGGCAGACGACTTATTCAACTTGTGGGATTCAGCTCTCCTCTTCCATGAGCCTAATGCTGTATATATAGAGCGACAGTAGGGACCCTAAGGAGAATAGGATAAGGGC